AGAGGGTGGTTGTGATGGCTGTGCTAGGAAAGCATGCTCGATTATTTTTGACGCTTTGCTTGACTATAGAACCAGGTAGAAAAAGGCTTTTTTTAATCAAATATTAGTTTTAACTTAAGCTTCTCATTTAAACAATTGTTTTATTTCAATTTCAAAATCTTAACTGTAACTTTACTAGAATTCTTCCTGGACCCACAATCGACATTTTTAATGGCAAAAACCAAATATACGAATCAAGCTTTTCTCTGCTCAACACATCCTCGACTCGTGCTATCCAACATGTAAATTTAACTTGAAATAGTTATTTTGATTACCCAGTTTATGTTTTTTAGGTGTACACAACAACAAAAGGATCTTGACAGAAGTCGAAATGACATGATCAACTTAATCCAGGTTTGGTATGCTTTCAGGCAGTCCAATCCAATCCGTTTTAATCTTTCCAATCTTATTATTACCTATGATTTTGTTTCTACCATAATAAAGTGGCCTTTTCAGACCTCATAATTGTAGGAATGTTGTAGAAAGGAGAAATAAAACTAGAGACGATTTAGACGGATTTTCGGACGACCAAATCGAAAAAAATCGGGATTTTTTTCTTCTTTTTTTAGTCTTTTAATCTCTTTATAATCTTTTCTTTAAATCATTTCTTTCAATCCTTTTGTTAATCTTTTTTAATCTAATGTTTTTTTTTTAACATTATGCTGCATCTGTATGTACATGTATCATTGGCAAGGTTCTACCATCCCCTTGAAATTAAGCCTAGTGCAGTTATAAGTCAATGTGATGTAAAGTAGAGTGTATGGTACCGTTACAAGTATTATTCTTGATGTAACCCTCTTACATCCCACTAGGATCTCGTTCCTTTGTTGTCCAAGGACGCTAGTGATNATCTATCATCAGTACAAAGTGTTGGACTACTACCTTCCCCAGGGGTCCCCAGAGGGTGGTTGTGATGGCTGTGCTAGGAAAGCATGCTCGATTATTTTTGACGCTTTGCTTGACTATAGAACCAGGTAGAAAAAGGCTTTTTTTAATCAAATATTAGTTTTAACTTAAGCTTCTCATTTAAACAATTGTTTTATTTCAATTTCAAAATCTTAACTGTAACTTTACTAGAATTCTTCCTGGACCCACAATCGACATTTTTAATGGCAAAAACCAAATATACGAATCAAGCTTTTCTCTGCTCAACACATCCTCGACTCGTGCTATCCAACATGTAAATTTAACTTGAAATAGTTATTTTGATTACCCAGTTTATGTTTTTTAGGTGTACACAACAACAAAAGGATCTTGACAGAAGTCGAAATGACATGATCAACTTAATCCAGGTTTGATATGCTGTTTATCGTCCTTTTAGGCCAGATGTTAGTATATTGGAATGAACAAGCAATTGGAATTGTCGTCTTGGCTTGTTCTGCGTTGTTTATGATTCAGTGTAATGCCCTTCGCCGTATGTTTCTGTTGCATCGCGATATCTCGATGATTTGCTAATAATGACGCGCATAACACGCAATCCGTGTTAATCTTTCCAATCTTATTACTACCTATGATTTTGTTTCTACCATAATAAAGTGGCCTTTTCAGACCTCATAATGGTAGGAAAGTTGTAGAAAGGAGAAATAAAACTCGAGACGATTTAAGTGGATTTTCGGACGACCAAATCGAAAAAAATCGGGTTTTTTTAATCTCTTTTTAGTCTTTTAATCCTTTTGTAATCTTTTCTTTAAATCATTTCTTTCAATCTTTTTTTCAATCTTTTTTAATCTAATGTTTTTTTTTAACATTATGCTTCACCTGTATGTAAATGTATCATTGGCAAGGTTCTACTATCCCCTTGAATTAAGCCTAGTGCAGTTATAAGTCAATGTGATGTAAAGTAGAGTGTATGGTACTGTTACAAGTATTATTCTTGATGTAACCCTCTTACGTCCCACTAGGATCTCGTTCCTTTGTTGTCCACGGACGCTAGTGATGAAACGAATTTACCTCAGACAGGGGAGACGTGTGTTGGCTCATGGCTTTTGGAACAGTTTCATTCTAGAGTTAGAGACAAAGGGGTATGGGTGTCGATCATTGTAAATTTGTACTTAAATTGCTTGGCTATAAGGAATTCTACCCTAATGATATAACCTTGCAATCCCGGATTAACCAAGTTCAACTCGTAGTATTGTGAACAACTGGATATTAGAAACCTTTTGGTCGGTCTGCAATCGCTAATATCTTTTTGCTGGGCTTTCCACGGAAATAAAGAATTCCTGCAGTGTCCTGTCCCATCAGTCAAATCAATTTTCAATTCCCTCGCATACAGCGGCAAACACTCTAGTGTAGTACTCTCGACTTTGCTGCAATTAGCTGACGGGATGGTTTGTTCGGATTTCAATGTTTATGTAGCAGTCGTAAACCAAAAATAAGGTCGAATGAAATGAACTCTGCTAGATTCCTTGGAAGAGGTCTTTTCTTTTTAAGGTTTCATTTGCCAAGATATTTAAAGTAAAGTAAAGTTATCTTTATTTCTACAGCGTGGCCCATTCAACTCGAAGGCTTGTATCCATAGGGGCCCTGTAAATATAAAATGATACGTGTAAAAAACAACCCAACTTTGATTTTGTCATTCTACGAACAGATTTCATCAGATGCTGATGGTGACAACAA